AACACCTCAAGGATCTACAACGGTTGCCTATACTTACAATACAATCCCAAACCTCACGTCAACCCTGTGACATGAACAGCATCCCAGCAGTTGTCACTTAAAACCTCTAGCTTAAACACATTAGACACATCATTTAATTACCTTTAACCCCTCCAAGAAAATAACCACTTCAAACTATCCTTGGGGGCCACCTTACAGGCAGCCTCCCAACCTCAAAAGAGCTATCAGACTACCTAACTCCAATTCTCACCAAGACACCAGACCTCGCTACACTGTCCCTTCATCAACACAGACCACATGATCGCTGGACTAAGTAACACAAATTGTCACATCTGGATACATTTACCTACTCCTCCACCAATGTCATGTATGCCATCACCTGCTTATAGTGCTTCTGCAGCTTATATTGGCCACATGGGCCAATCCTCCAGAAAAAAAATGGACACTAATTCAACATCAATTCCAGAAACTCTCAAAATCCACAGCAGACCATTTAACGTTTATGGACATTCTTACCTCAAAATAGCTATCCTTGAACAACAAAATGGCAAACAAAAACCCCAATACATCATCCACAAACTGGATTGTATTAACCTTGGTCTCAACAGGTTTGGATTCTTATCCATTACCTAGACTCCTACCTGGACTAGAATGGCCCAACCAACAGGCAATGTGCAGGCAAGCTAGGCAAGACTGAGAACATAACTCTTTCTCTTCTGCTGAAGTTTGTCTAGTGGGCAAGAGGATAAGAGTCAGAGGGCTGAAAAGGAAGGTAAGCAAAAGGAAATATGAAGCTGGCCTTGTGAAGTGGACATTTTCCTGACAAAGAGGGATGGATGAAGGGAGCCATAGACTCTGCCCCTGTAACAGCTTCTATTCTGGTTCTTGGCTGTTCTTCATTATAAGAACTTAAGATATGCCATATTGGGTCAGACCAATGGTCCATCTAGCCCAAACTCCTGTCTCCTGTCTACGGAGCCATTGACACAGACGTGTTTCTGGTGCACTTTACGGACTCCCCTGACACCTTCCCCTCTTGCCAACAGAAGGAGGCCCTGGCACATGCTTACCTCAAGCGTGCCAGGTTGCAGCTTCTCTTCTACCTCCTTCAGAACCTCCTGTTGAGATTCTGGCTGCACTTCCCCCACACCTTTTTTGTTACACACTTCCTGTCCATGGCCCCACCATGTCCTAGGACCTCCTGGTCAACCTCCCCCTGGCTCTGGCCAAGCTGGCCATCTATAAGACTAGGAAGGAGGCTCTGGCTGGGAGGAGCCAGGCAAGTATGTGGCTGCTTTCTTGGCACTTCTTCGCTCATGTCTCTAGACAGCGTTTCACTGATGAGCATCCACAAGCCCCCTCAACTCCTTCAGGGGGCAGTGGGCACTAGCCAGTGTGTTCTGTATGGTGTCCACTTCCAATGCCCTGGTTATTAACCTATAACCTCACTCCTGTTCCTGTTTTCTTTTTTGTTGTCCTAAGCAATCAGTTGATGTGTCCCCAGTGGCCCTCCTCATTCAGAGAGTCTTATAGTTTCCGTAATGGGCAATAACCCACATGATTTTTACTGACACATCAAATAGGCCTGTCTCCTGTCTACAGAGCAGTTGCCACAGACATGTACCTGGTGCACTTTATGGACTCCCCCAACACCTGCCCCTTTTGCCAACAGAGGGAGGCCCTGGCACACGCTTACCTCAAGTGCACCAGATTGTAGATCCTCTTCTGCCTCCTTCAGAAACTCCTGCTGAGGTTCTGGCTGCACTTCTCCCCACACCTTTTTTGTTATGCACTTCCTGTCTGTGGCCCCACCAAGCCCTGGGACCTCCTAATCAACCTCCACCTGACTCCGGCCAACCTGGCCAGGCAATGGGGGTCTGGCCAGGGGGAACCTGGATAAGCATGGGGTTGTCTTGTCACTCCATTCATATCTCAGGCAGAGTTTCACTGGTCGGCATCCACAGGCTCTCTTGACTCATTCAGGAGGCAGTGAGCGCTGGCCAGTACACTCTGCTCAGTGTCCCCTTCCAGATCCCTTGTTATTAACCTATGACCTGACTTTTATTCCTGTTTTCTTTTTAATTGTTCCAAGAAATCAGTTGATGCATCCCCAGCGGCCTCCCTTATTAAGGGAGGCTTATAGTTTTTTTGTAATGGGCCTAAGCCCATGACCTCATAGCACATCAAATAGGCCCATCTTTGACACTGGCAGGAGCGGATACTATACAGGAAGACCATATGGAAGAGAGATGTGAAAGGTTAAACATTTAAATGATAAGTATATTTATACTGGTAATGCATTACCAGTTAATGTTTAGCATGGGGTGCAGTCCGGTGGGGAAGATACGTGGTACAGTGCCTCAGGAACAGGAAGGCAGCAGGGCAAGCAGGAGGGAGCAGCAAGAAGATGGGGAGAAAGTGGGAGAGGGGCGAGAGGGAACTAGTACCCATAGCTAGTCTGCTCCCTCCCTCCTTCACCTGCTGCTGCAGCCCACAGCTTAAGTGGGCTGTTGTCTAGTGAAGAGGAGGTGGCATCAGTAAGCCCCACCCCGCCCATCAAAGGCCCTAAGGAATGGCTCCCAGGAACAGCTATGTCTAAGCAGGTCTGTGCATGGCCCCTGGCTCCCCATGCTGCCCTGAACAGGCAGCTGCAGCTCCTTCCCACGGTGGGGAGAGGAAGGGCAGGGAAGGACAGGACAAGCTCCCACTCAGGGCTTTGCACCCCCTAGCAGGGACTATGTGTTATCAGTTAACCATTTAAAAAATATAATTAGAAGAAGTTAAATGGGTAATTTTTTTAACAATAGTAACATTCCTAATTTGCAACAGCGTGTATTTAAAGTGATCTATCCCTTTTGTGTGGGATCCCATTTTTGATAGTCAAATCCTCCCTGGCATCCATCGTCATTGGTGGGGAGTGCACTGCCTGACTGCTTTTGCATTAAATAGTCACTCTAGACATCTTAGCACTAGATATTTTGTGGCTGTTACACAGGGTGGAATAAGATAATGCTTAGTGACCTATATGGCTAAAAGCCACATCATTGCCACTTGACTGTTTTACAGATGGAATAGGATCTGATCCTAAAACATCATCTTTGTTGTCTTAGGGAAACTTAAGTTGAAATAAAGAATTCTGGGCGCAAAGAAGTTTGGAAGATAGGGTAAGATTAGTTTTGAAAATTCCTGAAGCTTCAAACAAAAATATTTTAAAAGTCTTCTGCTATCTTTAGTATTTTTACCTAAAATATTTATATTTTTAAATAATACAGAAGGTTTGATTTTTCCAACCCTGGCATTAACCTCGGTTTCAGTGTACTTTTGCAATTACTAACCTCCAAAGGAATATTCTTCCCCAACTACATATCCAGTATCTCTGGTCCAAGTGTTCTTCTTTTCGTGGTATCATCGTACTCCATGTTTCTTCTAAGGCTTCTACATTTTTTTCATTTCAATGATCAGATGTTCTTTCTTAGCTAATTACTACTTAGTATAGATAATTCTAAAGAAGGTTGCTGATGACATTCTGCTCTCCATAAGGAAATTATAGCAAACATCTATTGAGAAATGTAGTTTATTTTCAAATTTTCTTATGTTGTCTGCAAACCCTCTCATTTCATATTCCTTAAATGAGCGTAAGCAGGCTCTTAGTTTCCATCACAAACAGAAATATAAATCAGTATATTTCCTGATTATGACACAAAAATGCACTACAATCATATAAGACAGATACTAAAGCAAAATGTAACCCTTTGGACAACTATATTGACTAACAGGATATGCTACAAGGTTTTGTTACTTTCTAAAGAAGTAACTCAGGCTATCAGGTCAATAATGGAACTTGCAATAATAATTCTAAAGCTCCATATTCAAATTTCAGCCCCTCTCCTTTTAAGCAACCACATGTGAACCATTAACTCTGAAGTCAGAAGACAATAGTAGACACTGTACAGATCTAAAAATAAAGAGATGAAAAGTGACAGAGTTGAACCCCTCCCATCAAAAAAGATCATCACTTTCGTGACACTTTTAGTCTCTAAGTACGTTCCTGTGAAAGCCATCAGGGTATTAAACAGCTAAGTGTTGCATAAATGACTATCATTTAAAGGAAAGCTCTTTTTTCCTTTTAAAGTAATAGTAAGACAGACAGCAGTAGAAACTAAAGTTCTCTATTCAAAGAACAAGTATTGCATGGAAGTAGGAGTGTAAATTTCTTAAGCTGTCCTCCCAGAAGTTTCAAACAATTTTGGAGGGACCACTTCTGGGAATCTGGTAGGAGTTCAGACACCAGTCCTATTCTAGCCCTCATTTCTCAAATCAGTATTATAGATATCAACTGTGATGAAGAATCTGAAAGTGTAGTTATTAGACAGATAAAGAACCACTAACTTCTTTAAAAACAGCACCAAATAGATGGAAAGAATCTGTGGTTATTACTATCATAGCCTAGATTGAAACCAGAGACCTCAGTAAAAGAATGTTGTCCATTGCTGATTAATAGAACCAGCCCCTCAACCAGGCAAATGTCCTCTTAAAGAACTCTTCTCCTGTCAACATGCGTGGAATTTAACTTCCATTAGTATTAACAGGAACGCCCATTAGGAATTGCTATCTAAATGATTAGTAATAATCTTCCGCATCAATTGGAATATTGAATATGTTTGTTAGTAAACTGTCATTTGTAGTAACATCTACTTAACTTTAAATGCTAAAAATAAATAGTTTTAGAATTTACTTATAGAATATTTGGATCACTGCTTTTGTAATGTAAAACAGGAAGTCAGAACAATCTATAAAGGTGCAAGATGTGCAAGTCGATATGGGGGATCAAACCAGAGGCTTTGACAATTATGCAAAATTCACAACTATTTCTTGATGACACTGAATAGTATTATTTTGTTTAAAGATGTAACCTTATTTCTTAATAGAAAGTTATGAAAACAGGGCTTTAAGAGATGCAATCAACATTCGGGCATCTTCACAAACACAGTACTACTTACTTTCATTAAAAGCATATTCAAATCCTTCAAGAGTATCAGGAAACTCAAGTGGTGGCTCATCTTTTTTCATCAGTTCATCCAAGTCTATTCTAGATAATAAATCTGGGGAAAAAATCAAGCATCATTGTATAAGTGCCTTCTTTTTAATCAACAAAAGTCATTTTTTCATGATTTTAAGACCTGAAGGGTCCAGAATGATTGTCTACCATGACCTTCTGTAATAATACAGCCCATAAATTTCCCCGAATTAATTCATGCTTCAAGTTCAATAGCTATCTTTGAACTAGAGTCTATCCTTTAGAAAAACATCCAATTTCATTTTAGGTTTCCAGTGCTGGAAACTCTACCATAACTCACGGTAAGTTGATTCAATGAAAAATTATCCTCACTATTAAAAATACGCATCTTATTTCTAATCTGAATTTCTCCAGCCTCAACTTCCAGCCATTGAACCCTGTTAGCTTACATTGATGGAAGGATTCCCTATTATCATTTTTTTTCCCATGCAGGTATTTAAACTGTGATCTAGCCACCCTGTAACCTACCCTTGATATCCTATATATGGGAGCATCCTGAATCCTAGCACCTCATATTCATTTTATCATCAGCCATATTGTTCAAGCCCATTTTAGAAGTTCCTGCTTTCTAGGACTAAGTGTCCCTATCCTGCAAGTATCAGTCCTACATGTATGAAGATATTTCTAACCATGAAAAAATAAGTATTGTTTGTCTACACCCAGTTTAATCAAGTAATTCAGTTCACTTGTAACAATGGTCTTCATTATTTATCCTTTCCCCGTTCTTTGGGTCACCTGCAAACTTTAATTGAAATTTTTGTCAACAGCTAGGAAAAAAAATAAAATAAAATAAATATATATATATATATAAAATCGCATTACTAATAAGTAGCATGTGGCGAAGAAATATGATACAAAGATTATTCCCAACTTTTAACCTACATTAGCTCTGCATGTTATTTTTGTAATAGTTTAGTTACATACCCTATTTTATTATAGGGTCACAGGAAGACATTTTAAAATGGGGAGAATTACCATGGTTCAGCTGAATCTACTGTACATGTTCTGTTTGTCCACTAAGTGAAATTTAAACTGGGGCAGCCTACCCTCGAATGAAAAGTTGTTAAAACGGCTTTGCTTACTGCGGAACAAAAAAGGGACTGACACAAGTTATAAAGAAGGACCAGCTGACTTGTGTTTATGAGCAGCAAACCCCCATCTCCTTTAGAAAAGTAGAAGTCTTTATCTGTCCATATCTTAAGTATACTGCATTAACACTAACATCTTCATCAATTACATGTGTTGTCCCATACAATATCAAGTTAGTTGGGCAAGACCTATTTCCCATAAAATGGCATTGTCTGGTATTAAATAGATTTCCCTCTTTTTTAACTATTTATTAGTTGAATCCTGTATCAACCATTTCATTATTTTGTTCAGGATTCACGTCAAGGCAACAGGACTTACAATTTCCTGAATCATCTTATTTAACATTTCAAATTTTTTGCACAATGTTAGTTTTCTACCAATCCTATGAAATTTCTCTGATGCTCCAAAACATCCTCATCCAAGTCAACTTCATGTTTCAGACAATTCTTCAGGGTATGGACAGGTGTTCTGTAGAGATAAAAAGTGCCTTGGCACTTCGCAGCACTACAAAAATGTAGCAATTTGGGGGCATACAGGCATTCCAACCCCCTGACAAGAGAGCTACAAAACTGCCTCAAAGGTCAGCTCTCCAGCCAGAAGATGATAGGGGACTGCCCTTTTACTCCCCGCCTGCCCTTAGGACAGCCTAATTACTGCCAGAATGCCCTTCCCTCTGCCAGGTTACAGTAAGGGAATTGTTGCCTCCACTTCAAGAGTCCTTGCTTGGGTGGCTATCAGGGAGCCAGCTGTTCTCCCCCACCTTGGAGAGGTCAGGTGGAGGTAGAGTGGAGGACCGTGTGTTGCTGTTGGTCTTAGAGCCCCCACAGCACTACATGCAACTGTACATGCATTAAACATAGCACTACAAAATGTAACACTTACAAGAAGTTCCTCTTTGAAATGCTAATATTTTGTAGAACATTCAGCATCTTTGTAGCACTAAACAGCTTGAACGGCTGTACACTCACTTTGTGTAGTGCTACGAGGACATATTTAGCACCACAAATGTAACATCTGCCCATCGCCTCAGTCTGCTCTCCTAAAATGGTTTAGTTTTATTTAATACCCTCTTACAAGTGATTCACTGGCTGTAGTCCTCATTGTGTAATGTTGGGCAATTGTTTATCTTCTCCAAAGGACATCCTATAGGGTTTCACAAGTGTCAACATCCATGTGCCTATACTATGGTACTTGATCACCCTCATAATATGTACAGTAAAATCCCTGTTATCTGGCATGAGTGGGGAATGCCGCGTGCCGGTTATGTAAAAATTCTCGTTATCTGAGGCAGATAACGCAGAGCAGGGGGGTGGGGGTGGCAGTGGCCGCACATGGAGCAGGGCTGGGGGGATGGCAGCAGCAGCACAGGGTGGTAGGTGGCGGCGGTGGCCACCATCTTGTGCAAGCTGCTCCTCCTTGCCCCGTGTCTGGCCAGCCAGAAATTCTGGTTTATAAAGTATTCTGGCTTGTAGAATGCCAGTTAACAGGGGTTTTAGTGTAATTGATTATGAGACCATGAAAAGCATGGGACATGCTTCAGGAAGCAGTATGCTGACAACTCAAAAAAACCCTATTTTTCTAGAAGGGAAATTCAGATAACAGCGAGCATACTAGTTGGTAAAAGATAAGCCTTTGAAATATTTCTAAGAGTTGCTTTTGCTAGCTATAATGATGGTAGAGTAGAACAGACGTGTCAAAAAAAAGATTTGTTATAAGATAACAAGTTTAAAGAAAAAAAAATCTAGCTGGTAGCAGCAGAGTCCAACAATTTGCTTACTGTGTATGCTTTGCTGGGATGGTGTATCCATTTCTCTCTCATAACTGAGCTGCCCCACTGTGCTGATGCCTCTACTTGAACCTATCTTTGAAGACCACACAGAAAAGGACAGGCACCTGTTTAACGGCATGGGCCATTTGAAGCACACTAAAACTTATTATTATTATGCAGAACTAACTTCCTATATTCCAAAATTCAATTCGAAGTGCTAATTTCTAGAGTCCCAATTGGCCTGGGTCTTGACTACCTTAATGACAATTCTCAACATTCTCCTGCCAGAGCTAAGATTAGCTGAAGTGATAATTAACCTTAACAGTGCCTTTAGATTTGATCTTCTTAATCATTTTAGGGCAGAAGTGGGAGAGATATGGCCTACAGGCTGCCAAGAGATTTTATCCAGTCCATGGCAGGTCCCTTGGCCCCGCCTGTCCCAGGTGCAAGGGGGCAGCCCAAGCCACGGTGTATACGACTGATCCTGCCACCCACAGGTGCACAGCAGGGCTGGGGAGGCACAGCAGCTAAACTTAGCTTCTTGGCAGCACCAGTGGTAGTGGCTCCTTCTGGCTGCCACTGCCAGTGTTACCATTGCGACCAAACATGGCCCTGCTTCCTGGGCATGCTGGCCCATCCACCCAGCACCCACCACCAGGGGCTCCAGATAGAGCAGGTGTGCAGGGTCTTCATGGAGACCAACCCAGGACTCCCACAGGCAGGCAGGGAGTGGCATCTAGGAGCAGGGCAGGGCTAGGGTTGGGACTGTGGGACAGCCTGGAGCAGAGCTGCGATCTGCTCCCTGCACATCCCAGTGACAGGCACCAGTTCCCAAGCAGAGGTGTTCAGGGAGCAAATCGCAGTTCTGTCCCAGGCCCCGGCCCTATGCTATCACTGCCCAGAAAACCAGGCCCCAGCCCTGGCCACCCATCCTATCCCCAGATGCTGCTTCCTGCAGCCCTATCCAATCTACGCTTTGCCTGCATAACAAAAAAGGCATACCAGAGGTTAAACAATAAAACAAGCTGACAATATTCTTAATCCACCGTTGCGAAAAATAAGAACACAAAAACATCTGCCTAGAAAAGTGCAGGCTCAGGGGTGACCTGGTGGCTGCCTGCAAGTACGTAAGGGGTATGCATCAGGATCTGGGGGAACGTCTGTTCACCAGAGCGCCCCAAGGGATAATAAGGACCAACGGTCATAAACTCCTCCAAGACCATTTCAGGCTGGACATAAGAAAAAACTTCTTTACTGTCAGAGCCCCCAAGGCCTGGAGCAGGCTCCTTCCAGAAGTGGTGCAGGCACCTACTCTGGACTTATTTAAGAAATGTTTGGATGCTTATCTTGTTGGGATCCTTTGACCCCAGCTGACTTCCTGCCCCTGGGGCAGGGGGCTGGACTTGATGATCTTCAAGGTCCCTTCCAGCCCTAATGTCTATGAATCTCTTTCTCCAAGGATAACCTTTTCCAAGGGCAGGGCATTCCACCACTGACCACTACAAGGAACAGGATTTGAACTTTCCTCTGAAGCAACAGATATCAGTTGCTGTTAGAGAAAGGATGCTGCAATTGGTCTGTGCTCTTCCCAGATGAAATGAATAGTAAAGAAGCCAGAGGTTGGTATGCATGCATTACTATTCATTCCATCCAGGAAGACCACACACCAACTGCAGATGCTTCCTCAGCCTGACAAAGAGTGTTTATACCCAAAAGCTTGCAAAGAAGAATTTTTACAACTATTTAAGTTGGTCTAATAAAAGATATCAGATTTACCCAAAGAACCTCGTCTGCCTATGTCCTTAGACCAACACGGCTACAACAAAGCAATTCTACTTCCTTTTTTTATCTAAAAGGAAATGCCTTTGATGTCATTTACACATGTAAAAGACAGAGCAAGAGAGAGGCAGAAAATAAGCCTGTACCTTTTAGTGCAGTAGTTTTTTCTTTTTCATCTGGTCCTCCTTGCTGGAGTTGAGCCATCTTTATCCAAATTGTGAACAAAATTGAAGTGATGAAGGAAAATGACATCAGTCTTCACAGGATGAGCTAAAATTAATCAGAGTTAGGAATCAGTCAATTAATTGACTTTTGTTTCACAAGGTATTACTTGTGTGTATACCATGATGAATACATGAATACAAATACATGAATTT